TAATTGATTGATAACAAAGTTTCTAATATCATAAAATCACTTCTTGTTCTTGATGCAATAATAAAGTTTGATATTGACATAGGGGAAAGAAACAACAATCCACACTATCAAGAAGTACCAAAGAAAATGATAGTGGTCCCCTCCAACAATGGAAACAATGTAGATCTAGTAAATAAATCATTGAATTGAATTTACCATTTTACCCCCCACCCAAAAAAACAAATTGTTTGAAATAAGAAATTCGCACAATCAAAACGCCAATAAACATCGGGGAGTTATATCTTACACCGGGTGGATATCAACCGTATATCTAAGTAATAATCACCCACTAACCACACATACATATAAGTGTGGGTGATTAGATGTACATCAACAGTTGAAATTCATTCAGTCTAAATAATCAGATATAACATATAATTACTCGTAAATATCGATTGTCAAAGTGAAGGTCACGGAATGTGATTGGTCATGTTCAAATAGGTCCAATTTTTCGGTCAATCTTAATATTCTTTAATTCTCTCCAACACATAAAACAATATTCTTAATAATTTGTTTTGTACTTGGTATCAATACGCTTGTCTTGTTTCTAAAAAAAATATAATTAACTCATAAATTTAGTATTTTTTATAAATATATTTGTATGTGTATTATATATAATATAATATATTGGACTTTTCTTTTTGGGGGAACATAAATTATTAAATATGATGGATATTGAGATCTACGTTATCTAGCTTGGAATGAAAGGTGACATAATAATTTTGTTGGTTTCACGTGTCACGTACTATTGAATATTGATTATTGTGGTCATGCATTTATTCATGAAGTATTTTTCGTACAAAATTATGCATTAATAAGATGCACGCAAAGGACACACCATTTATGAGTGTTTTTTTTTATTTGTGATATAATGATATATTATGTTGATGGGTAAATTACGGCTACACTCCCGCGGTAAGGTTAAATTACGAAAAGTTCTCGTGTTTGAATAATTACAACCAATCTCTTAACTATATATGAAATTTCTTACATGTTCACTCGTATGGTGTTAGATTCAACATAATCTTTTAGTTTATTATCGTTTTGTGCAATACAGTTTCTTATGCACCACAATCCGACATTGTGAATGGGGTCAAACGGGAACAAACTGGATAATGTCCCGCATAATCTACAAAATTTCACTAAATTTGACACCGCAGTGGTGGACGACTAAAGAGATTCATAGTTGTGGAGGTGGTTGTAATTACACAAACATGAGAAGTTTTTTCGTAATTTGACATTACCTTAGAGAAGTGGTCGTAATTTACCCTGCGTTCATTTATATGCCTATAAAAAATTATTCGTTCGGCTGAGAAAGATTAATTGTTACGATAATTACTATATGTGGCAACAATATTTACAATGTTGCTATGAAATCTGACTTGTGAAGGTATAATAAAAGACATGCGATATTTAAGGTGGTTTGGATACATATATGAGATACATTCACGATGACTTGTAAACAAGATTTCACTAGTTTAGATCAAAGTTTACAATACTTGAACTTAATAAAAACACTAAAGTTTCTCTATTTTTATTATACGTCGTTCTTGCACACAACTCGAACTTGTTGATCTTTACAGCATTTCATACATCCGCACTCTTGAACCTAATTTCCAATATTGAAATCCCTTCAGACGGGTGGATCAACCCCTCTCGAGATCTTTTTAACACTTCTCTTTAAACGTCATTTTTTATTTATAACCTGATAGAAGAAACCCGTACTATTATCCTACGCTGTGAAAAGCCTTTACGTTGAGATGTAATTTTTTTTTAAATAACCGAACTATATATTGTTTTCTAACAAGTGCATGAAATTAATTCTTTGTCAATCTTCACCAACCAACATATTCAATACGCATCACCCCATATTGCACAAAATAAATCATTCAACTATTTCAATAAAAAAAAATGATGACTGGTCCGATTTGATTTTATCATAAAGAATAAAATAATCGGTCAACATTGGTCAAGTTCGTCAAATTTAATTATTAATTATGTGATATTTAGTATTTGTTTGGACTTTGGATCAACAATTCATGGAGGATAAAAGCCTGAAACGGGAAGGGTATAATTGGGCTTTATCATGTCCATTATAAGCCCAATGGGCATTAATCTAATAGTTTTATGGCCATACAAATGTAAGTTCAATTTGCAAGATAAATTTAAGTGGTTATTTATGATTTTTATATTTTTTTTTAATAAATCAAATTTCAAGAATATGTCTGCAATTTATATTTTAATAATTATATCGGTAATTGTAATTATCAAAACATAAGGAGTTTTTCGTAATTTAGAATTACTCCAGAGGTAGCTGTAATTTACCTATATTCATTTTATCCAAATTTTATGATCACAATTTTCAATTGAACTATAATGTTAATTTTTGTTTTTTTTTTTTGAAAGCAATCTTAACAAAAATAAATGTACCTACCAATAACCATAATTACCTTTTGAATTGATAAAAGTAGCTTCTTAAAGAAAATGATGTTTGGTTACTTTATAATTCAATTGACTCATAAAACGACGTGTCATATTGTTATAGCCGTTATATTTGATTAACTAATTATAGATCTTTGAAAATCTTACCCAACTTTTATTGAGTAAAACATAAGCCAAAAATTCTTGGACATCATAATTTAAAATTTCAAAAATAATAATTCCCAATTCTCTAAAATAATACTTTTATATAGAGACAAATTGCTATATACACCTCTCTACCAATTTTCTTTCAAATAAGGCAAAAATCATTTATTGCATTTTACTAATAGTTCACTAAGCATTCCAACATTAGTGATCGGACCAAAATAACTATCATGGTACGCTGCAAGCCACCTTCGATTTAAAGATCAAACGCCTTTTTTATTTCTCCATTTTCTCTCTTCCCCAACTTTTTCTTTCCTTTTAGAAACCAACATCGAACAATCTACAAGATCTTTTTATATGATTTCACTTCATATTCTTGCGGTTTTGCTCTATATTGTTGTGGTCTTTGCCACGAAATTGTTCTCGGAAGAAAAATTGTGATAAAAAAATTAAGTGGTTTGATAATTTTAATATTGTTGTGCTTCGTGTTAAAAAAATTGGGCGATTTTTCAAAACCTAGCATTAATATCGGCGTAATCTGTATCGACAACACAGAACAATTTAGAAAAATCCAAAGAAACGGACTAAAACATACACAAACGAACTGTGTTCCTATCATATCAGCACAAAAACGCAAAGATAAAGCAAACGACGAATTTAAACCTAATATATCGCTACCATAACAAATGTATCGCTAGAAAATACATGTGGATGAAAAAATCCAGTCACCAAGCAGAAATATGTATAATGTTTTTATTTATCAAAATAAAATAAAATAGAACTATGTAGAAAAATTATTAGTGCAAAATTATTCGATAAATAATAAATATAATTTGATGAATTACGGAATTCAAAGAATTAGTAAATAACAAAAGGGTAAAAATGTAAAATAGCTTTCACCATCCGGTGTCATTCCTTTCTTATTTGGCGGCTGCGTTGTGGGCCCCATTCACACTTTGACCAGATTTTATAACCTTCTTGGTATTTGTGGTTGTACAATCATTTATTATTATTTTTTTTAATACATTTATTATTTTTAAATGGGTAAATTACAAACACCCCCTGAGGTATTGTCAAATTACAAAAATACCCCTCTTGTTTGGATAATTACAACCACCCCCTCAACTCCTCAAATTTAGTGAAATCTTCGAGATTATATGGAATATTATCACTTTTGTACCCATTTTATCTCATTCAAACTCTACATTACGAAGCAAGATGATCATAATATGTGATTTTTAGCTTGTATATATCAGTTTTTGGTGCATCGGAAACTGTATTTTTACACAAAACGAGTACAAACTAGAGCAAATTTCAAGGAATCTAGATGATTGTGTTGAATTTGGCTCCATAAGGGTGGAGGTGTAAGAAAAAATCATAGTTGAGGGGGGTAGATGTAATTATCCAAACAAGAGGGGGGTTTTTGTAATTTGACCATACCTCAGGGGGGTATTTGAAATTTACCCTTTTTAAATATACTTTTTTTTTTCTCTGAATTCTTTTTTAAATATTTATCCAATACTAGTAAAATATACATGTTAAAAAAAGTTGAAATTCCGAACACAATTTTTTTGGGGGAAGAATTAAAGTTTTTTGAAAAATACTAATTTTTTAAATAAAAAACTAATTTCAATGTCGCTCTAATATCTAAAAACGGAAATCGGATTCAGAAATCGGAATAAAAAAAGATGTCCCCCGCACACATACGCATTTTCGCTCACCCCCGATAATATATATATATATATATATATATATATATATATATATATATATAGATAGATATATATATATATATATATATATATATATATATATATATATATATTATAATTGTAATTTTTTGGGAATAAAAATTGAGTTTTCAAAAAATTAAAATTGGATGAAAAATTTCAATCTCAAGTCTCATATATAATCCAATTACGATCCGAAAAAGTTTGAAAATCTTGAAAAATCGGAATTTTCGAAATTTAAAATGAAAAAAAATCTTCCAGATTATTTTCTTTTATCGGAATCGGAAAATTTTGTTCCATTTTCCACCCCTACAACTAGGACCGATAATTCAGTCAGGCCTAACCGAAGTCCGATGATTCGACCAGATTATATTTGAAATTACAAGCGTATTTGAAAATAATGATATTAAGACAAGGGGTATAAATTGTTTTAAAGTACATGTTAAATATGCCCAAAACAGCTAAATATTAATGCAGACAGTGTAATGAAAAAGTACAATATTTATATCTATATATAATAAATGTGTATATATAGATTTAGAAAGAGAAAGACAAAAACTTTGACCAGAGTCAACCCATCCTCTTTCTCTTTCTACCCCTCTGTAACAAATTTCCATTCCCAATTCACAAATATTAATTTACTGACAAAAATAAAATTAAATATTAAAAAAACTTAAAAAAGAAAAAAGAAAAGCCCTCTTCCATAATTCTTCTTCTCTTTCCAGCTGCTTACTTCCATTCCCCCAATAAATCTACTCAAATTGATTTCGCTGCTTTTTGTTTCTTCTGTTCATCTTTTTTATTTTTATTTTTGTTTTTCTCTGCTTCTGATTTGAAGTTCTTGCATCATCAAATTGCGATATTCTTCTACGATTTTTTTTTTTTAAAAAATATTTTTTTTTTTACTGGTTCGTGTTGACTACGTACTAACAAGTCTGGGTGGTTTGATTCGGGCCTGGAATCTGGGAAATTAGGGCTGGATTTTGATGGAGAATCCGGGTTTTTAGCTGAATTTGTGTTTGGGGCGGGTCAAAAAGTTTATCATGGATCGGTGGTCAAAGGCCACGATCTTCCACTCCGGTTTTCTATGTTTGATTATTGTGTTTGCGAGATTGTTTAGGGTTTCTGCAAATGCTGAAGGTGTGTTTGTTTCTTGTTCAATTAATTGTTTTATAATTTATTATTATTATTCTTCTTTTTTTTCTTTCGATTTCTCGGTTTGGTTAATTTTATTGTAATGAATTTGCACGTTGACTTCAGCTGAGTTCAGTTTTTTGGTCAATTTCTAGGTTAATTCAAGATTAGGGATTGTTTAATGAATGTGTGGCCTTTATCAATTGAATTGATGATTGCAATTGAAGCATATCTTGTAGTAACTCTCAACCATGAACAGTGTTTTTATATATAATTCTTTTTTTTTTTTAATTTTGCTTTTTGTTTTGAGCTGAAAGTTGAAAAACGGTATGTATAACGGTGAAAAAATATATAAGAAAATTGTTAGTTTAACTAGTGTCTGAAAAATTGGAGTTTAGTGTAATAACAAATTTTATATGTGTGTACTTTGTGCTAGGCGACGCGTTGAATGCATTAAAGACCAATTTGGCCGATCCGAATAGTGTCCTACAGAGTTGGGATCCGACACTTGTCAATCCCTGCACGTGGTTTCATGTTACATGCAACAATGACAATAGTGTTACTCGAGTGTAAGCCTCGTTTTCATCTCTATCTCTCTGTATTGTAAGTATTATCAGATTATGGGAATATATATATTTATATGTGAACTGTTATTACACAGTGATCTAGGAAATGCAAATTTGTCTGGTCAACTCGTTTCGCAGCTCGGTCAACTCACGAATTTACAGTACTTGTAAGTCGTGCTATATTTATGTATTTTGTTGTACGTTTCTATGTTCATATAAGTTGACGATCGTTTTCGTTTCAATTTGTATACCGTGTTTCTTGATTGTATCGGTACGGCTTTGTTCAAGTGCTTTTCATATATATCGTTCTTGATTCAAATTTATTACCTTCTCGTTTTTTCCGTCTCTTTTGGCAGGGAACTTTACAGTAATAATATTAGTGGAAGAATTCCGAACGAACTCGGAAACTTGACCAGCTTGGTTAGTTTGGATCTTTATCTGAACAACCTAAGCGGTCCGATCCCCGACACATTGGGCAGGCTTCAAAAATTACGTTTCTTGTACGGGTTTCTATTTTAACAACTTTCTCTAATACTGTATTTTCCTATTTATTTATTTTACTATAAAACAATGATTCTTGAACTATGTAGGCGGCTTAATAATAACACGTTGAGTGGACGAATTCCCCTGACTCTGACAACCATCAATACCCTTCAAGTCCTGTAAGAATGAATTTGATAAATCATATTTTTCTAGTGATTTTGATTTTCTTTCGTCTTTTTTGTGTGCCGATATTAATTTACATGTTTAATATATGCAGTGATCTGTCAAATAATCAGCTCACGGGACCTATTCCTGTTACTGGATCGTTTCAGCTTTTCACTCCTATCAGGTTTAATGTAATTATTTTTTCTTATTTTTATGTATAATTGCATGGGAGATCATTTATTCGTATATATACGTATCTCTCTGTGTGTGTTTGTGTGTTTGTGTGTGTGTGTATTTTTAATCTGCTAATGAATTTCTGTGTTTTTTCAGTTTTGCGAATAATCCTTTGGAAGCTCTTCCAGTATCACCACCACCTCCCATTTCACCGACAACTCCATCTCCTTCTCAAGGTTTGTGTCTATTACTTTCCGGAGTTTTGTCTTTCTTCGTTTTTGTTCGAAAATTTAAATTTGGTTGTTTGGTTTAATAAATTTAATACGAATGACTGTTGAGGAAATCTGTATGAACTGGACTACAGCTCCGCTCCCCGTGGCTAATAAGATTTTGAAAAGTGATTATGAGCTTTTTTTTTTTTTGGCTCAGAATCACTTTTGAAGTGTTTGCAATACCAGCTTTTGCTTCCACCTCTCTTAAAATTAGCTGTTTTAAGCTAAAATATAAAAAGCACCCCTGGAGCAACTTCTATTAGAATAAGTTGCTTAAAGTTGTTTTTTCATGGAGTTTGCAAACACCCCCAAAATTTTAAAATAAGCACTTATAAATAACTTAACTCATAATCACCAACTTCCGTTTTTTAAAAAGTTTTTGCAAACACCGCCTAACTCCCATATAAGATATCTCGATTTATCCTCAAGATTTCTAAATTAATTAATGAAATGTATCCAACATAAACAAGCAGTGCATGCTTACAAAATTAAATTTCCGTTGCAGTTGGAAACAGTGCTACTGGAGCAATTGCAGGAGGGGTAGCTGCGGGGGCCGCACTTCTATTTGCTGCCCCTGCAATCGCTCTTGCTTGGTATCGAAGAAAGAAGCCACAAGATCATTTCTTCGACGTTCCTGGTTAGTAAATAATTAACTAAAAATATCATCATATGTCAGGAGAACTACTTTTTTGGTCCCTCAACTTTACGTGAATTTCACTTTCCGTCCCCCATGTTCCGAGGTGAACTAATTTCACTCTCGATTTACCAATTTGTAACACTTTTAGTCCAATCTAGTTGACCATTTATGACTAACGAACTAGAATTAAGAGGTTATTTGGGGTTAGAAATAGGTTAAAGGTCCATTTTTTTAAATGATATTTTTAATCTTAACTAATTATACAAGAATTAACTTTTTAAATTTCATTAGTTTTAAAAAAAATTCTATACACTAGTATTTTTTAATTCAACTAGTTTTACTTAATCTAATTTAAATTTAATTTAAAAAAAAACTAATTTGATATATTAATCATAACTTTTTAAAATCTAATATTCACCTATATGATGAAAAAATCCCTATATTTTAACAACAAATTTGTTGATTTAATCTTATAAAAGTTTATTGGTCAAAAGATTCAAATATTAACGAAAAGAAAAACAGGCTTTGGACAGCTTATTATTATTTACTTATTATTATTATTTCGTTGAAAAATTAATTGCAGCTGAGGAGGATCCAGAAGTACATTTAGGACAGCTTAAAAGATTCTCTCTACGCGAACTCCAAGTTGCATCGGATAATTTTAGCAACAAAAATATTCTTGGCAGAGGTGGTTTTGGTAAGGTGTATAAAGGCCGATTGGCCGATGGTACACTAGTGGCGGTTAAAAGACTGAAAGAAGAGCGGACTCAAGGCGGTGAGCTTCAGTTCCAAACGGAAGTAGAAATGATAAGTATGGCTGTGCATCGGAATTTGCTTCGTTTACGAGGCTTTTGTATGACTCCCACTGAAAGGGTGCTCGTTTATCCTTATATGGCTAATGGAAGTGTTGCTTCTTGCTTGAGAGGTAAGTGAGATATATATAATAAATTTGCTTATCTAATATGCAAGATTGCATGCAGTTGTCAGCTAGAGCTCGACCTGTATTTAACATTATTATAATTATTGTTATTGATTTTTTTTTATTCATGATCTCAGATAGGCCGGAATCACAGCCGCCACTTGATTGGCCGATACGAAAACGGATAGCGCTGGGGTCCGCTAGAGGGCTTGCTTATTTGCACGACCACTGTGACCCTAAAATTATCCATCGTGATGTTAAAGCTGCTAATATATTATTGGACGAGGATTTCGAAGCAGTTGTCGGCGATTTTGGATTGGCCAAACTAATGGACTACAAAGATACACATGTTACTACAGCCGTACGAGGAACAATTGGTCATATAGCTCCTGAGTATCTCTCGACTGGAAAATCGTCGGAGAAAACCGATGTTTTCGGTTATGGAGTGATGCTTCTTGAGCTTATCACTGGGCAGAGAGCTTTCGATCTCGCTCGGCTTGCTAACGATGATGATGTCATGTTGCTCGACTGGGTGAGCTCCACTTTGCTTCACTTATATGCTTTTTTTCGTACTTTTTAAAGTTTTGTTCGTTATCTAGAAGCTTCTTATATCTTGTTAAATTATGTTCATTTAGCTACACGAAGTCATAATCATGGCTCTACTGTGTAGAGATATGAATGATTAGAGTAGAGTCGAACACATATCTCTTTAAATTTGTTTGGAATTTTATCGAGCTTTTAGAAATTGTTTTTGAACCTGGTTTTGAAGTAGTTTAAGGCTCTGTTTGGAAATATTATGGTGAAAATATTTTGCGACTAAAACGAAAGAAGTGAGAAAAACTACATGTAAAGCGCGAGCATATTTTTATCTTCTTCAATTCCAATTCCCCTTCGTCCCGTAAAACTCTCAATTATGGAAGTATTTCACATTTTCAAATTATTTGTTTTCATTTACTTTTGCATTTTCATTTTCCTCATTTCAAAATCCGCGAACCAAACAGAGCCTAATTTATTCTAGTACACGCATTCTATCATCATTTACATCCTAATCGAGTTATCAAACAAAAAAATGCCGTCAAACTTGGTTCGTTGGGCAATAAATAGAACTCCAACAAGTTTTTAACAGATCGATCTCGAATCTTGATTTAATTTTAATCCATACATACAACTATTATAATCGCAGGTGAAGGGACTTCTAAAGGAGAAAAAGTTGGAAACGTTAGTTGACGCAGATCTTCAAGGTAATTACATCGACGAAGAGGTGGAGCAGCTCATCCAAGTAGCTCTACTCTGCACACAGGGCTCACCGACCGAACGTCCTAAGATGTCAGAAGTCGTCAGAATGCTCGAAGGAGATGGATTGGCCGAAAGGTGGGACGAGTGGCAGAAGGAAGAAATGTTCAGACAAGAATTCAGTTACACTCATCATCCTAGCACTGATTGGATAATTGCGGATTCCACTTCTAACATTCGGCCCGACGAACTGTCGGGCCCCAGATGAAAACTCGAGGGCTTTCTGTATTTTATTGTTCTATCTTTTTTTCTTTTTCTTTTTTCAGGTTTGTATATGTGTTTTCTTTTTCTTTTTTAATTTTTTTTCTCTCCATATTTTGTCGATTTTCCGGCTGTTGTATTGTTTCTCAGAATTTTGATAATTTTAAGAATGTGTAGACATTTCAATAGGCCATACCAGTTGTATTTTAAGGTGCAGGATTAGCTATGTAAAAGCACCAATGTAATCTACTTATTTTTTTATGTATTGGAATTGCCCAATATTGTTGAATAATAATATTCAGGATTTTTATTGTATTTTTAAGTTACAAAATGTAGCCTCAGGGAAGATAAAAAGACGGGCAAGTTACGGCATCCTCAAATTACGAAAAAACCCTCTTGTTTGGATAATTACAGCCATCCTTCAACTATTTATTATCCTACATGTCCACCCTTACGGTGTTAAATTTACATAATGAATGAGGGGTTTTTTTCGTAATTTGGGTTTACCTTAAGGGGCTGATCGTAATTCACCCCAAAAAAATAACAATTAGCAGATTCAAAATGTGCTCGGAAGATACCAAAAATAGAAACCAAATGTACCGATAAAACTAGGTAAAAACAAGTGCACACATCTTAAGGACACTTGTACGAAAGTCGATCAAACGAAGTTCATTTACACAGTGCAATTGGTGTTTCGACTATGAGAACACGAAGAAGAAAAAAACATACTTTCAGATTTCTATATCTACTCAGCCTAATGCGAAAATACGAGTACAGAAATTCATGTACATTGTCTTGTAATAGAAAAGTAACTCAGACTTTCACTTTCTACTGCCCGTTCCAGCACGAGGTTTTCCTTTGACCTCAATATCCTGCAAAGCAATACAAGCAGCAAAGATAGTTCGGGAGAGAGAATTACAATGCCAATCGTAAATTTCGATGCGATATTTAAAGTGTGCGTGTACCTGTGGCGCATGTAGGTATATGTTGGTCTTTGCTGTCGATGGATTATGATGTTCAGCACCCTTGCTCCAATCGTAACATACCTAAATTTTATTCAGGACATTTAATAATCATTCCGAAGATATGGTTAAAAGACAATGTGAAATTCTTTACGAGAGAAAGTATACCGAGTATGCAAAGATCGAACCGTCATTGTTGAAACCACTGCTAGTTATGGGCTGATTGCATCTCGACATAGCCTGTATAAATAGAATTTAAAAAAAAAATGAAGAATGGTCAGACGAGAACTATATTAAACACTTTGTGCATCTTAAGACCAAAATGATAACTTTTAAGGAGTAAGTATGGTGTACCTTAAGCCGCTGTTTACTGTCCTTGTCCCAAAAATTGAATGCACCGTCAGATCCAGCAGTGGCAAATGTTCCATGTACCTGAAATGCGGCGAAAAGAAAAACAATAAGCTTTTGCAATATAAAGTTAATACCCAGAAGCTTTGAACTGCTATAATTTCATAAAACACAAGTAGAAAAAACATAAAGAGAATCAAATCCGAAGCACTTTATATATGCAACACGGAGAGTGAACGTATAGTTCTGAGTGTAGATAAGCGTGCTTAGTCGTAACATTCATTATAATGAGAAACCAAAAATGCAGACACGAATTTGATGCCTTTTTTTTCTGAGTGAATGTACGTGCTCTCGTGTGTTTGTCATGAATTTAAAATTTAAAATGTAAATAAATTAGGGGAAATATGTAAATACACTTCTTCCACAAGACACAATATAGATCATTGGCTGTTTGTTCATAAAAGGCTCAGAGTTCGTTAAAATGCTAATAGCTCTCCATGGTACAGTCAGCATACATAAATTATAAGAACAGGGAAAATTCTATGCCACAGACAATGTTGCAACATTACAACTCACAAGCCAAAATTTAAGCCAAAAAGGTGAAGCCGCGAAGAAAAAACTTACAGGGTGAAAATTCAGTGAGTTGACGGAGTAAATGTCATTGCCATCCCTGTGGCATTTGAAAGTAAAGTTTTTACTTGCTAGTGATTCATCAAGATGATGTACACCAACTCTTCCTTCAATTGATCCAACCTAGAAAAACAATGTCAAATCCAGGATATTATAATGAGCTAAATCAGTTATCAAAGAGGGATTTTTCATTAGTACAATTCAAGAGGATATACTTTGAGCTCATACATCTTAACCAATTATATTCAAATAGCACGTCAAGGTTAACTCAGCACAAACAGACAAAAGAACAAAAGTTAAGAAATTTCAGTTCAGTATTCAAAAACATGAAAGGAACAGAGGGAAGTTAAAAATGAAAGAAGCAAAATGTAAAGAGCGACAAATCAAGTCCCCAATTTGTTTGGAAAGGAGATGCCATCCAAATCCGGAATAGAATGAACGAGATTATCATTTTTTAGAACAGGAAAGTTATAATTCAAACTTGCGAATGATATTCAATCAATTGCTTTGTGCATACAGATTGAACATGTATTAAAAGTACGTAGTTGACATCTCGAGTCGTGGTACACCGTAACTGAGACGAGTATTATTCATGATTCTTGAGTGTCAACCATGGAAATAAGAAAACTGCAAATGCACTCAGTTAGGTATAAAATTGACATGACAAAGGACAGGGAAACTTACTAAGAATCCCTGCTGATCAGGGAAAGCAGCCACACATCTTGTCTGGTATTTCAGGGGTGACATAACCCTCTTGAACTCAGCCTGCCATATTCGATAAGCAATTGATCACATTTGTACAGTACATCTCACATTGCATTTAGTATGATTTTCTATCAAAGAAAGGTTAAGCTCAAAATACACATGGTTAAGCTCAAAATACACATACAGTTAAACTTGTTCCTCTGTCGTTCAGACAGAGAGGAAAGTGAAAGATATTACAAGAAGTATGCCACACTAAAAACAAGTATTATTTGCCCACTATCCAGTTAAATCATGTTTACTATATCAACAATCTGTTCGCTACATATTACACCCGTTTCCTGCCCAAGTGCCTCATGAAAACTTCAGAGAGAGGGTGCACACACACACGTATACATACATAATCTACCATCAAAGAATGATTCCTTTTTCAGTGACTTTACAGATAGTGCATAATATTTTTTTCTCTTTTCTACACCTGCTGAGACTTGGCCCTACGTTGTATATGATTGCCTTTATCATTTTGAATCCAAAAATTCTTCCTTCTATGTTAATTTTGTTTTCTTTCAGTGTTTTTTTTTTTGGAAAAAAATGCACATCAGTAAATCTAAGGGGGGTAAATAATATTAATCTTTCATTCAACAGATGTAAACAGTATTATGTCAACAACAGAACAGCAAGCAAAATAGTAATGTCAGTAAGACCTAAGGTTTTGAACTCCAAAAGACAGGAACGTAAAGAAAATCAAATTTTATGTTTGATTGTTTATTTTCATCACTATATGTGGTAAGATATAATATAGATCATTCTATTTACATCCAAATATCATGTGCTTCAAGAAACAGGGCAAAATAATCTTGAAAATTCAGAAAGAAGAAGAAAACCTGAGGGTTCTGCAAGTTGAAAATCACAATATTCCTATCAGCGGTACCAACAACCATAAGAGGATGTTTAACAGAAAGTGCATAGCAGCGGTCGGGAAGTTGTTGCACCCAAGTTGGATTTTGCTGTCTCAGATCCCAATACCTGAAAAGAAACAGCAGCTTTACTTCAAATAAACCTCGCTTTATAACATAATATAATAACATAGCGGAGATGATAAAATCCAGACTGCAGCAAAACAGGATACAATTTCTTTTCGTCTCTTTTTTTTTTTTTATATAAAACGCTTGTATTGCCAACTATCGTTGTCAAGGAATGGGGGATATTTGATGATATGCTTACTTAGACCATTAGCTAGAAACAAACTTAAGTTGGATGTATAAATTTTTGATACCTCGGGATTGTTTAAGTACCAAGGGTAATAGATCTGATGCTAAATAAACCAAAAGAAATGGAAATCTAACTCAATATCACGATAGAATCGCAAGACAAACAAAGTGCCTCAGCTGGCAATTTCTTGAAGTCGTGTATATACTCATCTTTGTGCATCCAAATTAGATATAAGTGGTAAGCAGCTCTTATTTTGAATTACTAACAAAAGCATGATCGTAATTCAAAAGGAGTTGATAGTTGATACGCACAGGAACATACACATAATATAAAGAACTTTAAACATGCATGGCATTTCATAGTAACTAGGAAAGACATCGGAGGGTTAACCTTAGTGTCTTGTCCCAACTTCCTGTGACTAAAAGATTCATTTCTGGGATCCATGCCAGATCTTTAACCGGAGCATCGTGCATGGCCACCGTAACTGGCTGGCCACCGGATAATAGCGGCCACATCTTAACTTGCTTATCGCATCCTCCAGAGAAGACAGTTGTCCCGTCATCCTTCCATGCTGAGCACAGAACCTGACAGCAATTTCACAGAGTAAATAACAAAGGAAACATATATTTCACGATTATCAGAATAACAATCAGAGGATAATGTTGAATGAATATTACCGGTTGCTCATGTGAGATTGCTGCCTTAGCAACACTGTTGATAGTAGTTCCCGATTTCGATACCTCCCAGCATCGTACCTATGAAAGCAAAAAGATACACAGAGTCAGCTCTTTGGAAATTACATAAGAAGCCATTGGAAACTTATAGTGGAAACTTCCCTTTCCACCCCCACTCCCCATAAGAAGCCAGGAGAAAAGCCATCAAAACAAAAAAACTACACATTCCTAATATCTGCAATTCAATGAATTTTACAACGAACTGGCATAATACATGCATAATTGAGTGTGACAACGTGTTACGTATGGCCTCAAACAAAACTAAAACCTCGCCCCAATGGAATAAACCCCAATTTACATATTAGAAAGCCACATCGGGAAAACAAAAAAAATAATAAGAACACGAAAATAAACAATTAGTACACTTATGGAAAGAAATGTACCTGATTATCCCACGAAGAAGCGATCAAGAAATTTCCTGAATCACTTGGAGGTTGTACCAACTATCGCCATTCCCCCCCAAAAATATGAATTGAAATAAACAAAATGAATTGAAATAAACAAAATTAGATTAAGAAAATTGGGGAAAATCTCAATAAACACACACACACACATTTTCAGCCGCGTAAACGTAAACGAACACTAAGAAACACAACGAGAAAGCAATTATTGTGGAAAAAAACCGCTGAATTCTCGATGCACAAAAACAAAAATTAGGATTACCTCAGCGGAGCGGTTGGGATTCACGTTGTTCGCGGCAGCGCCGAATGTAGACATTTGAAGATATCGCTTAAACCCTAACTCTTTTTAGCTTTGTATTGAAGTGGTGGAGGGAAAATCTGAAAACAGTTTGCAGAATATTCAGAGATTCTCACAGAGAGAGAGAGAGAGATGACTTCGAAATTCTCAATGCGTAGGATGAATATATATATAGAGAGAGAGAGAGCGCGCGTGAAAGCAACGCTACACTGTAAATACCATAGCGTTCGTAAAAAGCTACTTATAGCCTATTAGAATGAGAAGAAGACACTCCGGAGTGTCCAGATCATTAGCGGCGACTGTATTTTATTTAAGGGTAAATTACAAACCCCCCCTGAGGTATGGTCAATTTACAAAAAAACCTCTCTTGTTTGGATAATTACGTCTACCCCTCAACTATGTTTTTTTTCTTCTTACACCTCCACCCTTATGGTGTCAAATTCAACATAATCATCTAAATTTCGTGGAATGTGCTCTAGTTTGTACTCGTTTTGTGTAAAAATACAGTTTCTGATGCACCACAATCTAATATATACAAGCCAAAAAACACACATTATGATCATCTTGCTTCAAAATGTAGAGTTCAAATGGGATAAAATGGGTACAAAAGTGATAATATTTCATATAATCTCGAAGATTCCACTAAATTTGAGGAGTTAAGGGGATGGTTGTAATTATCCAAACAAAAGGAGGGTTTTCGTAAATTGACCATACCTCAGGGAGGTGGTTGTAATTTACCCATAATATTTTAATGAAAATCGGACGAATCGAATGGAAATTATCAATTTTAAGAAATTTTTATTTTATTATAAAAAAAGAATAACTTTGAATTACATTCCGGAAACAATTTAGAATTTTGGAAATTGGAACGAAATTTTTTGTTACGAAATCGGCAGAAATTCGAAATTCTAATTTTTTATTCATCTATTAATATTGAATACATAATACTAGATGATTTTCGGGAAAATGAAAATGAATTGAAATTATTCCCTACAAATTAAAATCGGATTGAAAATCAGATTCTCGCGTATAAGGAATTATCTTATATATTTAAAATTTAGAGTAAATAACAACTTGTATGTATTTTACTTCATTTTGCATATTGTGCCTTCAACAACAAAAAAATTTAAAAAAAATTCGTCTAAACATGTTATTTTGTGCTGCATTGTCATATATTAGCCATTTTCACTTTCGTCGGAATTTGATACACGTAGCTCTTCTAAGGGCGTAATGGTCATTTCAGAATAACAAAAATTATGAACTCGTCTTCCAAAACTACGCTCGTGGTTTGAGAGATAGAAGACATATAAATATAAATACATTACATACAATGAGAGAATATGCGATAAAGGGTTAAATGGGTCTATTTAATGTTGCACCCGTGAATTCTATCGATTTTTTCCTATTGATTTTTTTCTATCTTTAATATACATACAATCACATTCATATATATGTACACGTGGATGTGTGTAAAATATGCGTGCGTCTATATATGTGCATGCTATGATATAATCATGTAAAGTTCATCGAGTGTAGCATAGAATAAACTAGTTACCAGAGTTGTTTAATGAAACGTAAATTAACTATGGTATAAAGTATTGAAGATGTTGCAATTTTATAAGTTAAAATAGTAATATATAGGGAATTATTAAGTATGAAGGTTATATCATAAAAGTACAAACAAAATATATAACACAACCTATTTCATAATTATAATAGTTGTTGAAATATTACTTTCTTCCGATTTCGTAAATGGGCTTTTTTGTACACCTATTATAAATTCGGCCTTAAGTGGGCCCATCGTATGACATTAATATGGGCTTTTTCCAATTGTAATATTATTACATACTTTTCCAATTGTAATATTGATATCATAAAATTGCAATTTTATACATCAATAAATTACATAGTACAAATTAAGTTGAAAATATAAAAGGAAACTTTATAATGGTTTTTCAGTTTTATTTTGAGAATGTTTTGTGTTTTAAACTATATTACACCGGGTGGCGGAACTACGATTTCATAACATGGTGAGCTAAAAAATTATCGGGGTTCAGGGGTTGCGTCCTCAATTTTTTTTCTTGAACTATACATAGATAATATAATAAAAAATTCAAAACAAGAATATATAGCATACTAATTGATCTTAAAATTTGGGTGGGTGGGATTAGGGGTGAAAATCGGACGGAATGGATCGGTAATGGTATTTTCGAAAAAAAATCAATTATTTTCGTAAGTAAAAAATGTGTTCCAATTTCCGTGCAAAAAAAAAAACGGAAAGTAAAAAATTCATTCTGATTTCGGAATGCCTTGGAATTAGCAGAATTTCAGAAATTACATTAATTTATAATCTCTTGTTCTAAATTCGGATATAGTGAAAATTTTGTAGTAAAATGTAAGAAAATCTAAAAGCGAATTCGACAAAACGCAATAAATAAAACCAAATGTAGGAACAACAAATTGACACATGGATTTTTTGATAATGAAAAATGCAACAGAAAGTTTCTGATACTAATTAATCTTTTCTAAGGTTTTAATTTACTTAGTCCTTCAGTGTTTTTACTTTTCAGTTTTCATATAAAATATAACATAAGTTGTATATGGAATTACAAAATACATCATAAAATTATATCATAAATTTCGAAAAACAATCGAAATATTCGGAACTAAAATCCGGATTAAAAACCGGTAATTTCGTAAGTTTATATACAATTTCGATCCCGTTTAATAAATTCGAAAAAATTGAAAATCAAAATTGAAAATACAGTTTCAAATTCAATTGTTTTCGGATCAGAATTGGCGGAATTCGAGAGTTACATTCCGATTTCCACCCTAAATAGTAAATACATACTTTCTTTTCATCCACTAAAGGAATAATTATAATTAGTACAAATTAACATAAGGCAAATCGCAGTCCTAAAAAAGACAATTCAAAAATTCATTCATTAAATGCACTTTGGAAATTTCGTAGATCCCTAATGGTAAATTCTTGGAAGTTCTTGATCAACATGATTAATTAGGGAAAATGTGTGCATTCTTCTTCTTTTTCCCTAGATATTAATGGCATTCCCCATCATACATAATTTCCTCGATGTAGCATATATACTACATTATTTATGGTCCCCTCTCTTAATTTTATGACGTCATCATCATCGGTTAAAAATCAGTCCGCACAAATTTACAGTAGCTTTTACGTAGGGGTGACAATCGAGCAATGTGAGCTGAGTCTAGCTAGGCTCAAACTCACATATTATCAGACTTTGTAGTTATACGCTCAAACTCGGTTCATACAATATTTCGGACTTCGCGTTTAAATCGGGTTCTAATTGAACTTATAATTCTACATTTTATAAAATTTCATGCATATACTCTATATAGTACAAATATTCGTAAAATTGCATAAAAATGGGTTTTTTTTTTCTAATGATTTGTTTTTATTTTCTAATATTTACAAATAAGAGAGATTATAATTCAAATTAATGTGAAAGGTAAACATTTGTTACTAAAATACATTTGAATTCGTTAAATTAGTTTTAATATAAGCTTGAAAACAAGTATAATAGATGAATGTAAATTCAAATTTTCTTTATCACCAACTATTTATGTCAATTAATGTTAATTGTATAAAATAAATGTTAATAAAAATATGGCAAATAACAAATTTAATAAATATTAAAATTTCTTATTCGCTCGGGCTTTATTCGGGTTGAGCAATAGTAAACTTAAACTCAGTTCATAAACTTTTCGAGTTTGATAAAATAACTCAAATTCAGCTCGACTCATAATTTGTTAAGTTTGATCAAATAAAACCGGGCCAAACAATTGGGCTTCGAATAGGCCCCGCTCAATTGCATAACCTACTTTTACGGAAGCACACATTTTTTCCTATAAATTCATGAGATTAAAATAATAAAATAGAGACTATATTATTTTTCTATATTTTGTAAAAAAATATTTTCCCACTAATAAAGAAGCTAGGAAAGTTCTATTTTATAGTAATGCATTGTCATGGCCGATGCTGAATTGAAGAAATGGATTTGGGGGAAAAAGGGGAAACGTACTTTTCGAAATCAAATTAGGGCTGAGGAGATAGAACCGAATGAATTGGGGATATTGTGTTGTTTTCTAAACGACATCGTTCAGCATTCTATGGAAATTGGGCTTGAAACCGGTGAAGGCATTATCACGGATGGGCTGGGAGTCAATATCAGTGGGCCGAAAGGTAATGGGCTGCAGAATGGAGTTGGGCTAGTTTCAGCATTTTACAAAGGGGCGCGTGTTATTTCCCACGCGCGTGAGGGGACAGGCAAAACAAATTACTGATATTTGCAGATTAATAGGAGGACAACTGTCAGCTTTTTATTAGTAGCTAGTACCAGAATATTTTTCATTTTATGCACCGTTAATATATGTACCCGAACTAGCAGTGAGAAATTATTATGCAGAGTTTATTCTATTTTTTTCTCACCTCATTCTCTCTCTCATAATCTCTCTCTCTCTCTCCCCCTATCTTACCTTTCTTGTTCATTACTTTACTGTTTCATTGATAAATCACCATTAAAATCACTCTATAACTAGCAAAATCTTACATTTGGTACCAAGAGCAAGGTTGTAAAATATCCTGGACAGCATGGCAGACTCAACACGATCAAAAGAAGCATGGGAAGCATTTAAAAAACCGTTTGAACAGAAATTTCAGGAAGAGACAGAAAATAGGAAGAGTGGGGATGATAGAATGCAAGAGCAAATAGTTACCATCACCAAATCCATAGCTGAAGGGCAGTTGATGCTGCAGGCGCATATGCAAAAAATATGGAAAATCTGCAACTACAGATCTCCAAATATGCTGAGAGGCAAGAGCATTACAACAAAGAAAAATCAATTATGGGAAGTGGATCTTCATCCTCTTCAGGTAACCATCAAAACCCTGTCACAGCCACCCCTGAATTTTTTTATAAAACCCCAACAACTGAACTTAGGGCACAAAAAACCACAGAAGGAGGAGGGAATCATGAGGTATCTGTTGGTTTTAATCCCTGCCCTAAGATTGAGTTTCCTAGGTTTGATGGATCTAACCCAAGGAATTGGCTGTTGAGATGTGAGGGGTATTTTCATTTAATACCTAACATACCTGATAAACACAAGGTTACTATGGCTTCACTACACTTGGATGGGAAAGCAACTGTGTGGTATAGCCATGTTTATCAAGGTAATAGACAATTGGGATGGGCCCAATTTGTTGAAATGGTGGCATCTAGGTTTGAAGACCTCC